AAACATACTGAAGTGAACAGTCGGGAGAAAGAGATACTTACTAGAATTATGACTTTTATTTTTATTCACTAGAGCAACATTGAGGAAAGAATTTTTACATACAGGTTTTTAAATCAACTTTACAAGCAACTTCCAATATACAGTATTTACTCTGACCTGGGTTAAAAAACAAAAACAACAAAGCAGATAGTAAGGGTACCTCTTGTTTTAGCTAGTATTGAGTTTAAGATTTCACCGACACTGGAATTATATTGGTTTTATTGTGGTGCTTTTACAATTAAGTAGGCAGTGAGCAGCTTTACCACAACAGTGACTGAATTTCCTTGATAGCATAGTTGTAAGGTTACTATACCGAGACCTACCACCAGGATCATGTATTAAATCCACTCTGCTCAGAAAAAGCCACTATAACGAGATAAGGAATAGCTACGGAAGCCCAATTCAAGAACGGATTTCCATCTGAATGGCAAGAAAAATGTCCATATTAAGAGGATTATGTGCTGTGCAAAAACAGAAATACTTCCCCCCCAAACATGCAACCTACCCAAGTATGACACTTTAGAATGTGCATATGGTTGTGACATGCAAACAAAGTAAATCACGCAAATGGTGTTCAGTTTTCTAGCATCATTACAACAAATCAGCATTTTGATCAAGGATGAAATGAATTTTACTGACCTATGATGCAGTCTAGTTACTATATCTAGTCTCACTGCTATGAGATTTAAGCTGACGAACCCACTTTTTTTGGAACTATATGAAAAATTCAGGGCCATTTTGGATTTTCAGGGCCTTTGCAATTATTTCAAGAAAGTCTAAGAGATAATATTGCACTTCTTTTCTCAAACAAAAACATAGGCTGGGAACATTATTCTTTAAGGGCTATGCTAGTCCTAGGGAAGTTTTGCCATCGGCCTTGATTGGCAGTAGGAAGTGCTAGCTTCACGGAAGAGGAAAGTAATAACCTGGCTGCATCATCAGTGTTAAAATTCCACAGTTAAATTAAAGTCATTGCACAACAAAAACTCAGTACGCTATATGAATATTTTTAAACATGCTAAGAGTGCATATCGATTCTGTGAAAGTGATATGAAGATACCTTGGAAACAGCAACACTAGCAGAAAAATCAGTTTCAAACAAAAGCCACACACACCAGGAGGCATCTAGATTATTTTAGGCACAACTCCAAGCAATAAAGCTCATTTAAAGTGCAAGTCTGTTTTTTTCTTTTGTGTTTATTCACTTGTTAAAATGCGTAATTGCCTCTGTACACACATACTGAACAGTAGTTTAATACTTTTGTGAATATTGCACAAAAGAATGAGAAATCAAAAACAAAAAAATGGCAATAAACCAGTTTTAGAAACCTAAAAAAACCCTGAAGATATCAAATCCTTTAATTTACGCATTTAGGATAATCTGCACCAGTACTGATGATATATCTGCACCTTCCATAGATACATTACCTGAAAATACTTAATCCCACTTGACAAGCTCTACACAGCACCCTCTTATCCGTCTCCCCCCAACTCCCACCCTTCACTGAAATGAAGCTTCAAACTTCACTTCACTACTTCTCTTCCAGTTGCCTATCTACTGACAGGCTTTACTCGTACTCTGGACTTCCTATACATGCAACAGAGCCTTCCCTGGTAAAGTCTGAAGAGCCAAAATATGTAGTTGTCTTTAAAGGGATGTGAGGTTAGCAGCTGAATACAAATGCAATTCAGGCTAGCATCTGTCTCATCCGTGATCAAATCCTGCTGTCTCCAGCTCAATGTCTTACTGATCTGTCAGAACAAAATGGGGACATGCTATAAGGAAAAAATATAATCTACTTATGCGCCTTTAACAGAGAAAAACAAACCCACAGAATAAATATATTTTTGTTCTTCTGGGGGAAAAAAAATTAAGAACTATCTTCTTTTTCATGAAAACGCTGATCATCTCTTTGCTTTGTTCCTTAATTTTCAGTAAAGGTGCAGATAGATAGAAATCTATACTTTTAAATGTAAACATAAAAATTTTAACATCACTGAATAGACTGGTGATACCTCCAGAATAAGAAGCAAAAGAACTCGTGGTGAAATATCTGTCAATAGCATTAAGAGAAAATCATCCTTACATAAAATCATATACAACTAAAAATAAAATCAGCTTCTCTTCAAGAAAAGTAAACTTAAAAACACACCTTCGATAGAAATCTATATGGACCGGAAAACGAACCAGGAATCTGATCATTCCCTCAGCAGTTTTTAAACTCCTGAGAAACACAGTTAGCTGCCAGGAGCTAGTTTTGGGGAATATAAAAAGTGAGTTTTATTTTCTTATCAAAAGTAAATGCTTACACTGAAGGCCATCTAATTCAATGCTTTTCAAAGAAAGAAAGAATTTTTCCTGGAGAATAATTTTTACAGCAATCTTGAATTGTAGTTATTTTGATCCTATATCAACTGTAACAATTAATGTTACCCTTGTTACTTCTTGCTTACATGGTCTTCGCCCGAATTAACAGCAAGTCCTGCAGGTCTCTTATTTCAGATCGATATAAGCAGTTCTGAAATAGAACCTCCCCCCCCCCCCCCCCCCCC